GGACTTTGGGTAGAAGCATCAAGAACCTTCTTTGGTGGAATTTCAGAGATTTCTGACACTCAATCATTCAAAGACCCCAGGATATAAACTCTAAAAACATTTTCAAAGGAAATTCTTCAAAAAGAGACACCTCTAATGGTTCCCTGTTCAAACTGTGCTATTTCTGGATTTTCCCAAGGTCACCTACCCACACTATTTGGAAGTCACTGGATAAGTATTCTGAGAGCATCAAATTGCTGCTCAAAGTTCAACAAAAGTCAGTATTGCCAGTGTAGTCTGTTTTTGAAGGCATTCTACATGAAGAAATGATAGCGTCATGAATTGTTGCTTGTGAGGTCATCAGGGTGGAATGTGCATTAAGGTACAACAATCTGCAAGGAGCATCACAGCAACTAATTTCATAAAATCTAAGATTAATTTGGGAGTGACTCTATGACAATTTTAAAGTGAATATTTCCTGGCCTTTAAGTTGTATAAGCAACCCTTAGTCTGCATGCTTGATAAAAATTTACATACTAATGACAAGAATGTGTATTTATTCAAAGAGATATATCAATAATTAGTGAATTAGTGACATCTTGTTAATTAGCTCATCACAGTTTGAGAGCTATGAGCTTAGTTTTTTTTTTATATAAATTTCTATGTCATATACAAGAGAGAAGATCCAAGTATTGCAGATACTAGAAAAACAGTATGACAGAGGTATTACACCAATAGATTGTTGTAGCAATATTATAAGTACAAATGAATCTCTATTTTAACTATATAATTGTGATTTATTCTCTGAGATCTGTGTTTCCATCTTGTAGTACACACTGACCTGTAGAATCTAGGGTTCTATAAGCTATTATTTTAGGCGTCAGTCTTAAGGGACAACAACTACTTCCAGAGAGCTCCAAGTTCTCACAGCAATTGTGAAAGGGTCAAAAGGACAAGTATAATTGCACTTTGTGTCCATTAAGCTTCTGTAAACCTATTCAAGCCATGTCAGATGGCCAAGGTCAATATTAGTTTAGAGGTATGTGTATCAGGTTCATTCAGGAGAAAGAACACACATCCGTTTGTCAAAGATAACTTAATAAAGAGAGCTGGTAATATGTGAATTAAATTGTTCATTTGATAAAATAGCACCGCTGTTACACCTATGAGATTAAAGGTGTTTAAAATAATGAAATAGATAAAAGGTTCTATAATGGACTACATTGTGCCTTTTTGAAACTGGGTGGTTTTATAATAGTAGATAAGGGTACCTATAATAGTCCATTTGTGCCTTCCCTGAGTTAGAGGTCAAAGCCGAACTGCTAATGTTGACTGCATGTGGAAATAGAGCCCTTAAGGAGATAATTAAGAACAAATGAGGTCATAAAGTAGGAGTGAAATCCAATACAAGGAGAGTCCATTAAAGGGAAGGAGCATAGATACAGAGGGTATGCGTGAGAACAGGCGTGAAGAAAAAGAAGGTAGGTGTCTTCACACACTCCTCAACAAATACCAATAATACACTAATAGACTTTGGAATTGTAGGTGAAAAAACCTAGTTTAAACTACTTAGCCTATGATACCTGCATTGTTTTCTATATTCCTAATGCAGAGGATCAATTAAAAATTTGAAGAGTGGTTCCTAGCATGTATGACTGAGATATTTGAGGATTTAAGGTCTCTAATAAGAAAAAAAATAACTGAGATGGCAAATATTCATTGTTAACTTTACTGGAATTCAAAATCACTTGGGAGACCAAACTCTGGATATCTTTGAGAGTTTCCAGAGATGTTTAATGAGGAAGGAAAACCCAAACAGTACTATTGACTGTGTACTGGTTATTTAAATCAATGAGCCTATGGAGAACTTTTCCAATTCAAACCACAACAACATATTAGCAGGAGTCTTCTTTTCTCCATATTTTCTGGCTTTCCCTGTACATTGACCAGGCATCTCAGGATTCAACTACTATGACTTCCTCACCATGTGAGAATGAACCATGACAAAGATTTAGATGCCCTAGAGACATTTAAAACCTCTCGTAGTTTCTTTGTCAGATAATTTTCACATCCAGGCAAAATATATTTAACCAAAGTAATACTACAAAGTAGGAATATTTCAAGTAAGATTTTAGAAAACTAGCTACTATTGTCTGGTGAAATTTACAGATGATTAATAAACTTCTAAAGTATCAATTGCTTACTCTCAGAAGTCTTCTAAAGATGTCAGTATAAACTACTATAAATTTTTGCAAGATTGTAAAATGTAGTTTTAAATTTTATCACTATGAAAAATGTGCAATTACCACTATCTGTAGCACTTTTAAGGTTATATTTAACATATCTTAGGAAAGCATCCTTCCATATGTACAAGTACACAGAGTAAATGATTCAGGATTGTAAGTCATGAGGTTAAATGGAAAAATTACCAATAGCTTGAATACTTGATAGAAATTCTTTATGTAAACAAATATGAATAAATGTTAGGTAACTGTGCTTGGAAAAATCCTGTTCTGAAAAAATAATTAGTTGTCCTATACCCACTAACACATTTCTAATTCTTGTGATTATACTTTCTTCTCTTTTAATTCTTTGGATAGAAAACACAGGTAACTTTGAGTGTATTTCCCCTGTAAAGTCTCTGCCCATATTTTGTTTTGCTGGTTTGCTTTCTGTTCATATTGAATTTGTGCATAAAGTAAATTATCCCAAAGTATTCAACATGATAATCCCTACATAAAACAAAGAATGGCACTGGACAGTGAAACTCTGTGACCATTTCACACAGACCTAAATGACTTCCTCGTTTGCACAGACCAAGTGAAGATATGAACTTTGAATGCACAGAAATAATACAAAAGGTAAGAAGGGTAGGTTTCAATTTACATATTCCTTTCTTTGTCCTGAAATTTGTGTGAACTATTTCAGATTATGTTTGAATTAATTATGAAAGTATCTAGGTTATAGGGCAGCCACAAATAAATTTAAAAATGTACATGTAAAACTTTGACTTTGATGAAGGGATAATAACAAAAGCTAATACAAAAATCAATATTACAATAATTTAAAGTAAAGGAATTCAAAACAGGAGGGAAACAAGGGATTTAAAATTGACAAATAGTAAATGTACAATTAGTAGAAATTAAAGGTTACAGTAATTACAATAAGAAGAGCTAACCAGATTTTTTGTTCCATGACAAAAACTATCACATTGGAAGGGTGAGTAAAAAAGAAGTGTGCATTCAAGGAGAGATGCTATCAAATTAAAAATTAAATATAAGTTATGGGAAAATGTTTAATCATTAATCAGAAGAAGACTTATTTATCTGTTTGTTTAAGGAATTATTTCAGTCAAATTGTTACTGAAAGTAATAAGTAATAGTTTTTAGAATAAATTTGTTTTTAAATCACCATCTTTCATTAAGCTATCATGCTTCTACATACAAGTATGGCTTGGAGTGGACAGATGGCTCAGTAGGTAAAACATTGTAGTGAAAGAGGAAGAAACTGAGCTCATATGCGTTACACTCCTGTGATTACTAGAACAGTATGGCAGCCAATCTGTAATCCCAGGATTACTGATACTGAGCAAAATCTCAAACAAAGATGGGTAATGAGATTGGCTGAGTTGTCAATGCTTGCTTTAAGTGAGAAAGCCATCATTAATAGATGAGATAGAGTAAAGACCAAGAACTCATTTGACAGGACTCACACAAATAAATGGACTTATATACACAAACGGGCACATCACATACATACACACTGGCAAAGCCAATGTGTTCCTTTTAGTTTGTTGGTGTGTTTATTTTTGAGAGAAAACCTCTCTATATAGACCTGGCAGCCAGTGAACTCACAATCTTCTTCCTCAGGCTTCCTAAAGCTAGAATTATAGTTTTGTTACCTACACATGGTTCAAGGTATCTGCATTTCATATTAAATACTTAAATAGTGGAAAGAAAACTATTCAATTATCCATGTAGTGGAAGTTAAATATATAACTGGATTTTAATCTGATTAATGTTGAAACAAAGAAAAAAAATAGAAAATTAGCTAATGAGGGGCTTGATGTCTCTAAAACAAATATTTTGCTGGATACACAAGGAGTCACCTTGAACTTTAGGAGTTTGAGATTTTTCTCCCAGGCAATTCAGTTAAGAAAATCATTTTTTTTTCTTTATTTTATTTTACAATACAATTCAGTTCTACATATCAGCCACGGATTCCCTTGTTCTCCCCCCCTCCCGCCCCCCCTCCCGCCCCCCCTCCCGCCTCCCTCCCCTTCCCCCCAGCCCCCCCCCCCCCCCCCCCATTCCCGCCTCCTCCAGGGCAAAGCCTCCCCCACAGACTGAGATCAACCTGATAGACTCAGTCCAGGCAGGTCCAGTCCCCTCCTCCCAGGCCGAGCCAAGCAATCCTGCATAGGCCCCAGGTTACAAACAGCCAACTCATGCAGTGAGCACAGGACCCGGTCCCACTGCCTGGATGCCTCCCAAACAGATCAAGCCAATCAACTGTCTCACCCATTCAGAGGGCCTGATCCAGTTGGTGACCCCTCAGCCATTGGTTCATAGTTCATGTGTTTCCATTCGTTTGGCTATTTGTCCCTGTGCTTTATCCAACCTTGTTATGGTTGAACTCCCAACAATAGAGAATCAAGTTTCATTCTGTTTTTTAGATACTTATTGGTAGCTAAACAAAGTCGCTGTGGTTATTTGCTAGGGTCAAAGGGACCAGGTTCCCTGGTAGTTTTCAAGAGCCCTTTTGCTGTCCTAGTTAGAGAAGGGCTCCTAGTTAGAAAAGACAGTGAAACTCTTTTGCCCCTTCAGGCTTTCCGTACTTTTAAGACAACCCCCGCCCCCAGCTTCCTTCAAAACTATCTCCTCTCAGGAGACCAACAGGAGGGTATCCCTTTCATTAGCTACTTCCAGGTCAGTAGTATAAGAGAATACCTTGGATTCGTGCAGAAAGCCATACGTGACTGACTGTGCTGTCTGCCGCTGAGAAATTTTAGATTCAAAAAGATGCTTTCAGAATGCAGCTCGTTTTTGAAGGGTGTGATGCTAGGAAGTACCGTGTTTGCCTTGATCACAATGCTTGGACACATTAGGCTAGGTCGCAGAAACGGAATGCACCACCATGAGCATCATCACCTGCAAGCTCCTAACAAAGAAGAAATCTTGAAAATGTCAGAAGCTGAACGCGTGGAACTCAGTAACAGCTTCCGGGTATACTGTCTCGTTCCTGTCACCCCTAAAGATGTGAGTCTGTGGGCCGCAGTGAAGGAGACTTGGATCAAACACTGTGATGCAGCAGAGTTCTTCACTTCTGAACCTGTTAAAGTGTTTGAGTCTGTTGCTGTGAATGAGAGCGACACCTGGTTGATGATGAGAACAGCTTACATATATGCCTTTAATAAATACAAGGACCAATATAATTGGTTCTTTCTCGCATATCCCACTACATTTGCTGTAATCGAAAACTTAAAGTATTTTTTGTTAGGAAAATATCCATCACAACCTTTCTATCTAGGTCAAACTGAAGTTCAAGGAGGCCTTGAATATGTGCGTCTTGAGGGAGGAGTAGTCTTAAGTATAGAGTCGATAAAAAGACTCAACCACCTTCTCACTGTCACTCAAATGTGTCCGGAAGAGGAAAGACAGATTTGGAAAATGACTGAAGAAGTGCTGCTAGCTCTCTGTCTCAGAAATGCAGGAGTGTTTGCAGAAAATGCTGAAGATGATGAAGGAAAAAATGTATTTAATACCAAAACTATTGGGATGTTTATTAAAGAAGCAATTACTGATTACCCGAATGATATAGTAGGTGGATGCTGTTCTGACATGGCCGTTACTTTCAGTAGACTGACTCCTGATCAGATGCATGTGATGATGTATGGGGTGTACCGTCTTAGGGCATTTGGACATATTTTCAGTGATGCTTTGGTTTTTTTACCCCCAAATGGTTCTGACAATGACTGAAAAAAGTATGAGTCTGTACTTGATAACCATAGAAGCCATGTTAGCGGCAGTAATAATATAACCAACAGAGAAGCATGCCTCTTTTCTGGTCTAGTCATATTGTGTCATCACACGTTGAAGTTTAGTTTACATCCTTAAATGATATGTTATTTTTCCCTTAAAGCACTTGGAATATTTTTTACATGTTATAGATAAATGCTTTAATAATAACAACCGTGAAAATAAAGGATGCATTTATAAATATATTTATTTGATACATACTAAATTATAAAAATTAAAATATATGGTATTCTTTTGTGTATTCACTTTAAAAGTTTCCTGTCTTTTTAGCTTTTGGCTTTTGAACATGTAAATGAAATTTCAACTGTGTATTTATGACTAATGAAATACTTAAAAAATATATTTCTCTAAATTGAGCAGTGGAGGTGCATGCTTTAACCCCAGCGCTTGGGAAGCAGAGACCAGAGACAAGCAGATCTTTTTGAGTTCGAGCCCAGCCTGGTCTACATAGGGAGTTCCAGGGCTACACATCACAGTGAAATCCTGTCTCAAAAAAGAAAATAAAATATAACAAAAAACAAACAAACAAACAAACAAACAAAAAACAGTCACCAAGACCCTTGCAGTATCCACTGAATAACATTCCAGTTATAAAACGACATATTTAAATTAACCCAGCTACCTATAATTTGTTTTTTTTTATTAATATAATGATTTTTTTGTTGTTGTTGTTTTGTTTTTGGTTTTTTGAGAATGGGTTTCTCTGTGTAATTTTGGTGCCTGTCCTGTATCTCACTCTGTAGACCAGGCTAGCCTCTTGAACTCACAGAGATCCACCCTGCTCTGCCTCCCAAGTGCTGGGATTAAATGTATGCACCACTACCACCCAGCAGGATGATGCTTCTTTCAGCCTCATTTGAATCTGAAAGTAGGCATTAACTGTGGATCCTTTAGAACAAACACTAGAACAAAAAATCACATTATGTAAATTATATCCAAATTTTCACTTAAATATGGATGAAAAATTTGTTAGAAACCATAAAATATGCAATGATATCTGTCAGTTTTTTTGAAAATATTCTGATTTATAAGGTGTTCTCTAAAGCCATTGTCTGAAACAGTAATCTGAATTTATATATGCTCATTAATATTTTTCTCCAAATTTTATTTGATTTGATATTTCACATGATTGTGTAAGGGAGAAAGAAAATCAATAAATCTAAAGAATTCAGGTTTAGTAATTTACTAAAGAAATATGACTTATCTTTAATTTTAAAGCAAGGCCATGTTTTGCAGTGTTAAGCTGTTTGAAACATGCTGATTTAAGAACATATAAAGGGAGGAGTAACATTAGTACTTAATTGATATTAAAGACATTAAAAAATTAAAATTCATAAAAGTTCAATCGAATTGGCTTATGGAACTGCTTTAATAAAACACAAAAATACTTACTTAGAAAACTTCGTATGTAACTGAAACATGTAGACATCATCCTTATACTTGATTAAGATTGTCCTCAAATTCTAACACGACATGAGAGACACTAAGGAAACCAGAGACCTAGAAAGCATGATTACAGGAAGCTAAAAATTGAATTCTTTTTATCTAAACTTTGAAAAACATCCTAGAAGCTAGAATTTTTTTATGAAATGGAAATTAGCTACTCTATCTGATATTATACGATCTGTTTCTTTGTTGCTCTATTTTACAAAGAAGAGTGGAAGGAGAATGGTGAATTTCCAAGGTGCCCTTCATGCCACAATTTGATGTGATTTGTGGAATTCTCCTGGCAGTTGGCACAAATGGGTTTTTGTGTTTGGTGTTCCTGTTGGCTTAATTCTCCTAATTGTGCCGTAGCCGTTATTGCCCGGAAGTGGTTTTGTTTGTTTATTTTTTCATATTCCAGTAGCTCTCATATACTTTTCTTCTTTTGTCTAATGCACAAATTTTATTTTGACACCCCAACTCCAGTCTCATATATTCTGTAATGTTTTGAATATCCAGTAAGTATTAAACTTTTCATGAACTCTGTTCTTTTATTGCATTTTCTACTTAGTCAAAAATACACAATTCATAAACAAATTTGGAGCAATGGGACTATCAGAATGAATTTTAAAGTTCTTATGGTGCAGATTGATAGACTGGTAAATTGATTAGACATCCATCTAAACTGTCACTTTATCTGATATTTATTACTTTTGAGGTCATTATTATTTGGAAACTTCCTGAACATCTTACATATTTTGACTGACATAGACTTAAGCAGAATATAATCAGTTGTAAACGTCTCAAGGACAATAATTATGACCTATCTCTTGTTTATTATAGGAAATATATAAGTATTATTGAAGACACAAACCCTAAAATTAAATTACTGAATACAATGACAAAAATAGTTACAGATGCATTTTGTAGTGAGATTCCAATGCTAATTCTTCAATTAATAACTGTAAAATTAGACAGACATTAAAATATCTAAACCTCAGGTTGCAAAATTTCAGACAAGGTAATGTTCCCATCCTGTGTGTCATTGCAATGATCAAGGGAAAAAGGAGATATGAAGATGAATATTTAAGTGTCAGGATTCATCATAGCATGGTATCATCTTTCTATTACCTTTGCTAGAAACTATCCATCTTTGGAAATATAGAAAGATGTAGTGAAATGTAAAAACAAAAAAGAAAAGAAAAGAAAGAAAGCAATATAAATAAAGATTTTTATTTTGTAGGCTCTTCATAAATATCCAAGAAAAAATAAACCAAGTTTTTACTTTATGGTTAGCTTACATTTTATATGCATGGCACGTAATGATTTTGAAAATGTGAAATGTTGTGTATCTACCATAACTGCATCATACAGAACAGTATGATGAGTATAAGCTTTATTCTGGTCCACCAGTTCATTCCTTTCTACTTACCCAAGAATGATAATTCAAATCATAGATATTTTTGGTTTGCAAGCTTTGTTAGATTTTGTTCTATGTATGATTTATTTTTACAACAGTATGTGAATGTATTCTATTTAAAACATATACCATATTTCACATATCCAACAACAACTCCCAATATTACAGAATTGTTAGGATAAATAAAAACATTTATTTTAAGGTATGTTTTTGAGAGTGTGTATGTGAACTTACATTTTGTTAGTGTACAGGAATATGCTTAGCTTCATAAAAATGAATTGTCTCCCATTGGACCTACATCATTTTGCTCTCCAAAGTGTAAATAATGAGAAGTCTTGCTTCTCCACATGCTCAATGATATTTAATCTGATCGCTGTTTTTCAATCATCCCAGAAAGTCTGTGATGGTATTCACTGTTAATTCACTTTTCTGTATAGAATATTGAATGATTTTTAATATGTTTATTTCCAACTGTATTACCTCTTTGCTTAAGAACAAAGATCAAATATCTGTGGCAGGTTGAATCAGCTCCCCGAACAGTTCACATTCTAAAGTACTTACTTCTAGTATCTCACTTTGAAACTTTATCTGGAAGTAGGGCCATTGTTAGACACTTGAGAGGAGATCATTGGTAAAAATGAACTCCTCCTCTAAACTGGTTGGTGTCTTCATTAAGGGGGAAAATTTAAACACAGGCTAGAGCATTGGGTTAAGCAAAATGGAAGGCAAAAAGAAGGGTAATGCTCCTAGAAGCCAGTGATTGGTAAAGGCTAATGTCAAGTCAATTAAACATACTGTCTCAGAGCCCCCAGAATGAAGCAGATTTCCTAGTTCCTTGAATATGGATGTGAGACCATGGGATTATGAAGAACTAAATTTCTGTTTTTGAGCCACTGATATTGTGGAATCTGTTATGGCAGCTTTCGCAAATCATAAACTAGTCAAAACTTAGAGGTTGCTTTTGAAAAAGAATGGACTTTCAGTTTTATCGTTGACTTTTGTCAGTTGTCTGTAATCTCGAGATATGAGTCTTTGATCAGATATCTATTTCCTTGAGCATTTTCTCCCATTCTGTGGTTTGCTTTTAAATTAATCACTTAATGTGTAAACAAAAAACAACAAAAAAACACTTCAAAGAAGCCTAACTGACTGAGTTTAATATACTCTACATTTCTTAATATATCTAAAATTCCTATCACCAAACACAAGGTTAATTAGATTTGCTCCCATGTTATTCAAGAAGTTTTATAGCTTTGGCTAATAAATTTAAGTCTGTGATCTCTGTGCATGTGTGAGAGAAAATGGAGCTCCAATACACAGCTGTGTTGTTTTCTTCTTCTTTTTCTTCCTCACTCCCTTCTTCCTTCCTTTCGACTTCCCTTCCTTTCTTGTTTTTCACTTTTTTTATGGGAGTATCCAGTTGTTCCAATACAAGTTTTTGAAGACCCTCTCCATTGACATGGTTTTGCTTTATTTTAAAAAGTAAATTACCGTTATTTTGGTGATCAGTTTCTAAACTCCATATTTCTTCCATTGAACTATGTCACCATTTTTGTTTTTTTGCTAATACTACATTAATTCCCAAAGTGTGAGTTTACAGCAGAGCTTAAAGTTGCTGCTATTTCTCCGATGAAGTTCCCCTTCAGTATTGTGGTGATTAATCTTATTTGTTCTTCTGCTCACACACACTGCTGAACTGTAGTTTGTAGATAGCCATGAAATAATTTGTGGCTATTTTGATTACAGTTTTTTTTTTCTGAGTCTGCACAATAAAGACAGAATACCACAGTTTTCACTTAATTAAATTTCAGTGTTGAGTATGCAATAGCTTCAGGCATTAAATTTTGATTTTTAATGAGATATGAATCTATTTGAACTGAATGAGCCACAATACTAGCCCATCAGTTTATAGTATAGAATTGAAAATATGCAAAGAAATTGAATGAAATTTCTCCTGTCCACACATAAGTATAACGTACCTTTAACACACCTCACATACATTTTGCTAATCGCTGAAAACAATAACAATGATATTTAATAAAACTTAAGTATTTGATAATATTTAATCATGGATTAATTTAACACATTAACTTTT